GGCACTTATGGTTGTCAAGCTTTTGTTTACAGAACATGTCAAGACCTTGAATAGATTTGCTAGAAATTCCTGTGGAAAATCAAGATGTTTTGTTTGTTGATGAGATACATCTTAAAACTCAAGCAGGAAAACATGCGGTGACTCATCATAGAGCTGCTTTAAATGTACTATGGGTTTTTTTTAATTGAATCACCGTGAGATACAATTACAAAGCTTTCAGATTTGAGTTTCAGTCATACAATTATCGAACACCCATCCCTCCACCAGTGTCCCCAATATCATTCCCCACATGAATAACCCCTCCCCTTGCCTCTATGGCAGACAAATTCCCTCTTACTCTCTCTCTCTACTTATGGGTATTATGGTTTGCAACACAGATAGTGAGAGATCATCATGTTTGGTCTTGTATCTACTTTCAGCACACATCTCCCGTCCCTAGCAGATCATCATGGACTTAGTGATCCCTTCTCTATCCCAGCTGCCTTCTCCCCCAGCTCATGAGGCAGGCTTCCAACCGTGGAGCAATCTCCCTGGCCCTTGTCTCTACTGTCCTTGAGTGTTTGTCTCATATTATGATATGTGTGCAGTCAATGTGCAGTCAATGTGTGCAGTCCTTCTACGTCTGTCCCTCTCTCTCTGACTCATTTCACTTGGCATGATACTCTCCACTTATGACCACCCACTTATAAGCAAATTTCATGACTTCATCTTTCCTAACAGCTGCATAGTATTCCATGTGTAGACATACCAAAGTTTCTTTAACCAGTCATCTGTTCTCAGGCACTTGGGTTGTTTCTAGATTCTGGCTATTATGAACAGTGTTGCAATGCTTTTATGCTATTATGCTTTTTTGTACCCTCAAGATATCCCATCTGATCCAACAGTACCACTTCTGGTACTTTGGTTGTTTTATTTTTAAAGGGAAATAGTTCCTTTTATAGGAGACTGTTGGGATTACATTCCTCTAGACTGCTTGCTAACTAAAATAATGCTAATGAGATCTAGGAAGCAAATCCTAGATGCAAATTTACTGATAGCAAATCACAAAGAAATGTTTTTGAAATTCAATTTAGACAATTTTTGAGATCCGATATTAAAGTCCACAATCTAAGAAGTTAGGCTCTGTAGCATGACTTTATTTATAACTTCACTGTTAATTCCAGAAACTTCCTGAAAAATTTATTTATGTGAACATCAAACTGTTCAGTTCTAGGCCCAGAAAGATAGCACAAGATGAAAAGAACTTGGCTTGCATGTGAGTGACCATACTTCAAATACCTGGTACCATATATGTTCTCTGAGCACTGCCACGGGTCACTCCTGAACAGAGCCAGCAATAACACATGAGCCCTCCTGGGGGTGATCCCCACACCAAATAAGCAAATAATGAAGTGTTCCATTATTTATTAAGGAATTAAAGTTAGCCAAGTTCTTCAAAACCCTTGCCTTCAAACCCTTTCCTTTGCTATCCCTACTAATCCAGAACTATTACTGTATCTCTCCTGCAATCTTTCTGCCTCAAAGATGCAACACAAGCTTTCAAGTAACATTCTGCTTTGGTGCTGTTACAAACAAACTCAACTACATTTACAGGGTATTTTGGCTGTGTGTGGAATCCTGTTTTGGTGTGTAGGTGTTTGTAATAGAGATTCCTGAAAATGACTAACAAAAAACTTCATTCAGCAGGTCTGCTCAAGCATTAGACTCTAGCTGGTTCTGAGGAAAGCAACACAGAGACCACAACCAATACCCAAACATCTAATTGTCCCTCCAAAAACATTCTGATTTTATTAACTATTTAGCCTTTGAAGATATATGCAATGGCGTGTGCTCTGGTCTCCATTTCCGCTGGTTTGGTCCTAAACTGTTCTGATTCAGAAATTCCGTTTAAATATTTCATCTGTGGAAGATAAAACCCCAAAGCAGTGATACGTTATAACTAATCTCAAGATAATCTGTTCATATTCACAGTTCACGTGTGTGAAAATTGCTGGCTGGGATTCATTTTTGTTATTGATAAAATGTGGGGGATGAATTTAGTAGCAAGTACATGCTTGTTTGATACATCAAAGAAATACATTTTGAAAGTATTTAAAACAGATTGTTATAGTATATAACATTAGTTTGGTTTTTTTAAAAAAATATGTATATAGGGCAGGAGAAATAGCACATGGGGATAAGGTGTCTACCTTGCATATAAATACTCCCACCCAGTTCAATTTCCTGGCACTACATATGATCCCCTGAACATCTGATTATTGAGTATAGAGCCAGGAGTAAGCCCTGAACACTGCTGGGTGTGGCCCCAATCACCACCCCCTTGCACCCCACCCTCTGAAACAAAAAATATTGTGAATATGTGTAAAAAGATATTTGAGTCTTGTATGAAAAGGAACCGGACCTTAAAAAATAGTGTGTGTATGTGTGTGTGTGTGTGTGTGTGTGTGTGTGTGTGTGTGGCGGGGAGAGAATTGTGGAGGAGTGAAATAAGCGTTTAAAGTCCTTTTATCACATGTCAGTCACATTCTAACTGCATGATGTTTTATTCAGCATTTACAGAAACCAGAAACCAGAAATTGCCATAAGTTAAGCAAAGAAATAGAAAATGTATCTTTAAAAGTGACTTTAGAATACTGTTGCCTTCCTAACTCCTGTTGTTTTTATAATTCATGCCTGGTTTAATAGTGCTTGCTATGCATGGCTCATCTAAGAAGACTTGCGTTTTAGAAATAGAATCATTTTCCTCGTTCTTAACTGAGGACAGAGTTAAGCTGAGGTCAAACTATCATTTTTGTTTACTTTCCTTCGAGGCCTACCCATGCTTCAGCATAACCTTTTAATGACTGGAATAGGGTGGTTGTCACACCAAATTACTGCCATTTTAAAACTGGGGATATTGGCAATTGCTTTATTATTCAATTGCTATCATTCTAAACGTCATGGAATATATATATATATATATACATATATGTATATGCATATAGATGCAAGATTATGACATACAGTAATGTTAATTCAGCATTCAGAGTGTATGCTGAAGGATGTTAATAGGTAAAATGCTTTGCATTGGTGAAAGATTTAGAAATGCAGAGTGAATTCCAGGCAGGTTTCTTTGCTTCAGGGTTTCTCAAAGCTTTTAATATGTTTATATGCACTGTGATTCTCCAAGGGTATTAGAGCATGAAGGATTTCTTGAACTATTTAGCTAGGGTATATCTTCACTGGGAAATACTGTATCCCTCACATTTCCATTGATTAGTTTGATGTCTTCTTAGTATGCCAACATTCTCTATTGGCACATTGAAACATCAGAATCAAGTTTCTGGGTAATGACTCAAGTCATTTGTATGGTAGTTAAAGCCATACATTTCCTCTCCTCCCTGATCTGTACCCAATATATGAAGACACAGCCCATGGGGGTCTAATGTATACTAGATGTTCTAAGAGGGACTTGTTATCACTGTTTTTTGACAAACTGAACAGTATCTCTCACAAGTCCTGTAGATATTGTTTTTCATTAAATGATGTCCACGAACTCTGAAGTTGAAGGAGAATTTTCATCCATGGTTGACACACTCATAACCTTGCACATTTTACTCATTTGCTATTGACATTTTAGAGTTCAGCATTCCTTTTATTTTGTGCAAAGAAGGGTCAATAGCATTACACTGACAAGGGTTCAAGTGTGGAGAGAATCAGATGCAAAGTTTTAGGGAGCGTGAGTGAAATTTTTCTAATACATCGTTTTTAAATGGTTCCATAAATACACTGAATTATCACAGTGCTTTAAATCCGGTGCACATATTATTCAAGAGGATGAAGCTAACCATGAACTTGAAAGACTGCAACTAAATATCGATAGTCCCGGAGCCAAAGTGATAGTAGTGTGTAGGATGCTCTCTTCGTAATGTGGCCAGCTGGATTTGATCTCTGGTGCTCTATATTGTCTACAGAACCCACCAAGAGTGATCCCTAAGCACAAAGCCAAGACTAAGCCCAGAGTACCATGGGTATGGACCCAAGAAACAACTACAACAAAAATACCAATAGTCCCTAAGTTATTCAAACAAAGCTTCAATAGGCTTAATGCACATTTTTAAACACCCAACCTTACATCTTACCTATCAAAAAGCATTCTATCTGAAAATAAAATGTTTATAAACTCATATGTATTTGTTTGAGAAAACAGAGAAACAGCATGAGAGATAGGCCATTTAAAAAATGGGGGAGACAAGAACAGATGACTGGTTAAAGAAACTTTGGTACATCTACACAATGGAGTACTATGTAGCTGTTAGAAAAGATGAAGTCATGAAATTTACATACAAGTGGTACAATATGGAAAGTATCATGCTAAGCGAAATGAGTCAGAAAGAGAGGGATAGACATAGAAAGATTGCATTCACCTGGGGGATATAAAGTAACAAAGTATGAGATTAATACCCAAGAATAGCTGAGATCAGCACCAGGATGATTACTCCATAACTTAGAGGCCAGCCGGGTATCCTAGAGGAAAGGGCAGTTCAGATAGAGAAGGGAGCACCAAATAAAGGATGTTTGGAGGATCCTCCCAGGAGGGGAGATGCATGTCGAAAGTAGACTATGGACTGAACATGTTTGCCACTCAATGCCTCTTTTGCAGACCACAACACCCAAATGGAGAGAGAGAACACAGGGGATTGCCCTGCCACAGAGGCAGGGGGGGATGGGGGGATGGGGGTGGGAGGGATATTATCCATGGTGGTGGAAAATGGGCACTGGTGGAGGGATGGGTATCTGATCATTGTATAATTGAAACCCAAGCACAAAAAATTGTAAATCTACAACTGTAAAAAAAAAAAATAAAAAAAAATGGGGGAGAATTATAGTATGCATGAGAGAAGCTATGGAAAAATATGTGGATTTTTTATGACCTAAGCTCTGTTTACAGTTCATCCTCATAAATGTAAGTTCAAGGTCCAGATTCAATCAGACAACACAGCCAAAGAATATCCAAGTCATCTTGTGTTAAAATTACTTTTATTCAGGATGAAAAATACAGCATGGAGTCAGATTAGATGATAGTCCATGATTAGTTCTTTACCACATATTTCAAGAGCACTACATATTTATTTCCCCTTGTTGTTACTGCAATATATCTTTTTATTTATTATTACTCAGAAGGTTACAATGTAGTGTTTACTGTAGTTTTTCTTTAATAGCAGATAAAGGACATATCACACACAAATACAGGCAGAAAAAATACAGAACGTTTCAAAGGAAGAACAAGGGAGACACCAAATCTACAACTTGTATTTCAGAGTTCAGGGGAATTTCTTTTCGTTAATTCGGTGTTTTCTCTGGAATGATGTGGCCCGATAAAAGCTCTAGATTTTGCAAACTGCATGGCAAAAAGCTATTTCCAACACAATGGATGAAGAAGGATCTGAGGTAGAAAGGTGGTCATGGCTTTCCTCTTATATAAAACAATTTTCTTCTTCTCAAAATATCTATGCTGCAAATAGATACCCTTTCCCCCAACCTCCCCCCCACCCCCAATCTACTCTATAAGAATAGCAATTCTGAACTTCAAGTCTCCTTCCGGACAGATCCCAGCTCAAGAGAACCCAAAGTTAAAATGCCCTGATGTTTAGAAGCACTTAAGCTTAGTGATTCAAAACATATTATTTTCACTTTTTTGGAGACTCTTCTATTTTTGGTAATTACGAAGCACGTTTTCATGAAATCATTTCATGTTAAATCAGAAGCTAAACCAAAGTACTTAATTAAATGCACTCAAATATATAGGAAGGGGTATTACCATCTAAACGTCAATTTCATTCTCTATAAAAGAAGTGATAAAGACTTCTGATAAGCATCCTTCCTAAATGTATTGAACAAATGAAGGGAAATAAATCATGTATTCATTCACCCAAAAGGTAAAATGAGACATGCATTAAGTTTGTGTCGACTTTCAGAAAGAAAATAACTTGGAATTTTTAAATGATTATACTGGGTTTCAATACACATAAGCAATAATAGAGTTTTTTTCCAAAGGGAACCAAAGATGTTGATATATTCTGGTATCACAATTAAACAAGGAAAAACTGTTTATTTAATGATAAAAAAAATGAAGAGCTGAGAGTGAGGAGAGGTTGTGCCAAATTGTTTTTGTTTTTTTTCTTTATGTGTCAAAATGTAATTATGTTTAAATGGGCACCTTTGGTTAGATGTTCACTGATTATTATCATCCTGCCTTAAATATCCTCAGACATAGAGATGGGACATGAAATAAATAAAGAAATCCAGACCTACTTACACAAAGCAGGGAAATAAAATGCAGGAAAAGAAACCCCAATAGAAATGCCAGTTAGGCCCACAGGATTTTTTTATCATGGTTATCCAAGTGGTTGCTAAAAAAATAAGTGAATAATGTCAAATAAAATTAAATAGTATAAACAGTTGAAATCTAATCCATATACATATATTTAATCAAAATATATGAACTTCATAATTTGGCCAAATCAAGGAAACAAACATAGGAAGTCTATTGGTCATGTGTCTGATGAATTATAAATAACCAAAACATAATGGTGAAAGATTCAAAGAAATAAAGTTAATGTACAAGGTTAATACGAAGGAATGTAAAAATGTAAAATTGCCTCCTAATTCTTATGTAAGTTTTTGTCATGGTTATTAAAAAGTCGGTATTATATTAGAAAGCCCCCACCCGCTGTCCCAATGCTGTATACAGTATACAAATCAGTGACAAATGTATTAGCATTTCCAAATACCACTCTGTCCATTAATTTACAGTTGCATAGAAAGGGAAGAAGAAAACAATAATATATGACGACTATATAAACAAAATATCCTTTTTCTCTTTGGATAGTCAGTGTTTTACGCCTTAAGTCAAACACCCAGTCAATGGTCAACAGCATTTTCAAGGAGCCATGAAGCTTCCGATTAAATGGAACTTAGGATTGGCATTTGTTGAAAAGGGCAATACTGTTAGTCAGGAAATGTTGGTTGGCTGGATGAACACTTCACATTGCCTGTGGGAAGGAAAAATAGCAGTCAGAATAACATTTACATAAAGCTTTACAAGTGGCAGAGGCCTGTCAACTCCTCAAGGAAACACAAGCGCTTCTTCCAGAAATTGTCAAACCCTGTTCGGCTGTTTTCATTAATGTTAGTAATGAAAGTTTTAGTGCTGTGTCATGCCAAAAGTAAGACTAAGCGGTTTTGTGAATTGTCTCTGGTATTCTTTTGTCTGAAAACTAAACATGAAATAGGACTGTACTCAGACTCACTTTATATGTAAGGATTATTCTTTGTTTGGGCTGGAGCGATAGCACAGCGGTAGGGCGTTCGCCTTACAAGCGGCCAACATGGCCGACCCGAGTTCGATTCCTCCGCCCCTCTCGGAGAGCCCGGCAAGCTACCGAGTGTATCTCGTTCGCACGGCAGAGCCTGGCAAGCTCCCCGTGACGTATTCGATATGCCAGACACAGTAACAACAAAGTCTCCAATGGAGACGTTACTGGGCCCGCTCGAGCAAATCGACGATCAACGGGAGGGCCTTTTTTTTTTTTATTCTTTGTTTCAGATGAAATCATTTTTAGTTTTTAAGCACTGCATAAAGAAAGTGACGTAAGTGTCATTATAAGGAACTAAAGTAAATTTCTTAAGTGTAAGGATTCCAAAATTTTAAGTTTACGCAACATGATCATTATCAGCAACTGCTATTAAGGCAAAAGCCCACACTGTTCATGAATTTCCAAACTCTGAAAAGTAAGAAGATGAAATGCAAAAGATTGGAGAAAAGCAAAGGAATAGGGAAAGAAGAAAACAGAAAAGAAAGGAAAGAGAAGAAAAAAGATAAGGGGAAAGGGAGAGGAAAGAGAAGAAAAAAATAAAAGAGAAGAAAAGAGAAAGGGACCTCTTAATAGAAGTCAACTAGAAACTATTATCACCAACAACTGGAGACTTTTTGATTATTATTTAGGGCTGGAGCGACAGCACAGTGGTAGGGCGTTTGCCTTGCAAGCGGCCAACATGGCTGACCCAAGTTCGATTCCTCCGCCCCTCTCGAAGAGACCGGTAAGCTACCGAGAGTATCTCGCCCGCACGGCAAAGCCTGGCAAGCTACCCGTGATGTATTCAATATGCCAAACACAGTAACAACAAGTCTCATGATGGAGACGTTACTGGGCCCGCTCGAGCAAATCGATGAATAATGGGAGGACCGTGACCGTGACAATTGGGGTGCAGGGTGTTTGGGTAACATCTGGTGGTGCATGGAAACTACTCCCAACTCTATTCTTGGGGTCTGCTTAGCTCAAACTCGGGTGGGTCATATGCAACTCCAGAACTAATCCTCTGAATCTAACTTATTCTTAAAAAAAAAGTATGAGGATTAAGTGGATTAGGTCTCTGAAATCCTTTTCCACTTCTGAGCTTTTAAAACATTCGCAATCATCTTTCCTATGTGATTTAAAGTCATCATGGTGTAGATTCCCCTCATCTTTTATTAAGTTGATTTCTACTTGTTTTTGGATACATTTTAAATGGGACAGACTGATCGCACTCTCCTCTGATTCATTCTTTGTATGTAAGAAGTTGTGTACTGACTTTGTACTTGGACTTTTTGCTGTATTGGTTCGCTGTTTCTAGGACTTTTTTTTGGGTGGACTTTTTAGGGTCTTCTTAGCATATCACATATTATCTGTAAATTGTGATAGTTTGGTTCTTTTCCAATTTGGATCCCTTTCATTTGTTTTTCTTGCCTGAATTCTGGAGCCAGAACTCCTAATACTATGCTGAATAAAAGTGGAGACATGGTTGGTGGGTGAGTGGGTGGAGAGTAGGATGGAATATGGGAACACAGGTAGAGGGACTGTTGTTGAAATATATGCCTAAAACTCAACCATCAATAACTTTATCAATCATAGTTCCTTAATAAAATAAAAATTATTTTTTAAAAAGTGATTTCTAGGTAACAAAAACAAAACAAAACACCCCCCTAGTCAGTTTCCCTCCTATTCCCCAACACCCAACTCCCTGTCTTCTTTGACACTCATTTTATTATTTATTTATTTATTATTTTTTTTACACTCATTTTAGAGTTTGGTTGCTGTACTTTGGATTTCTTGCTTTCAGTTTTATTGGTTCTGTGGTTCAGATAGATATATATATATACTGCAGTGTATGGGAAAGAAACCAGGGCCATTGGTAGAAGGAAGTTGACACTGGTGATGGGATTGCTGTTGGAACATTGATGTACCTGAAACTAAGGTTGTAAATGATAGTGCCTTAATACACAGACTCAAGGAAATAAAGCTTTTTAGTCAGGGATGTGGTTCAGTGGTAAAGTGCATTACTACACAGGTGTGAGAGCCTGGTTCAATCCCCAGCACCACACACACACACACACACACACACACACACACACACACCCCCCACACACACAAGATAAAAAATAAGTTCCTTGCTCCACTTCCTGATCCCTATCACTCGCAGCTGTGCCCTTTCCTGGGAACATGTGGATTCCCCTCATAAGTATTTTAATGAGCTACTATACAAGGCTCCCTCCAGACTCCTGGTTACTTCCATGGCCTTTCTCTCTTCTGTACAGACATCTTTTCTTCCCTTACACTGCCCATGTGTCCCATCTCTCTAGCTCCTAAGCTTTTTTAAAATCACATAATCTCCTTCATCATTCAAAGTCAAGTCTTCAAACACTTTTCTGAATGCATTCTTCATCCGCTAATTCTATCTATTTATCTGTTGGGGGGGGGGGGAATGCCACACTGGCGTTGCTTGGGAGACCATATGGGATATCTGGAATCAAAGGGTAGCCTTATGTAAGGCAAATGCCCTACTGGCTGAAATATTGCTCTGGCTGAACCGGTTTATTCTTACCCTATCTTGAACTCCCCAGAAGACACAAGTTTCCCTGAGACACAATTAAGCCTCTTGCATAGGACTCTTTTGTTCTCTCATCCTCAACACGCAGAAGTTTAAGCAACTCCTAGTTCTTCTTTGTGCATTTCAGGATATTTTCTTACCCCCCCCCCTTACTAAATACTCAATGTGAATTTTCCTCCATAAAAATATACTCCTATCCTGTCATATCCATTTTCTGACCCACTAGGGTGTATCCTCTTACTTCTTCAAGAAGAAATGGCTATTAACCACCTTAAACCTTAAATCTTGCTGACTGCAGTACCCCATCAACTACTCTTCCTACTGTCTTCCTTTTTTTCTCCCAGCGTTACATGTGCTTTATTTATTTATTTAGTTACATGTATTTTAATAAATGTTACTTTAATGCCTGCTCATTTATTTTAAATATACATATCTATATTTATATCTGTATGTATCTATACCTATATCTAATGACTCTAATATAATATAATCAGCTGGACAGAGAGGGAGTTCCTTGGTGATAAATTTGGGGTATCACCAGAAATCAAACAAGAAATGTTTGGCGGGACAACACACATTTTCTAGACCTTGTCTAGTGATCATTGCTGGCCAGAAATGATGCTCTGATAAGATTGAGAAACAAAGTGATGTTCAGCCTAGGCTAGAAGACCTTCTCCTTCATGCTCCCTAGCAGTAATCTTCATCCCAAGCTGAGGCAGTTTGAAGACAAAAACCGAAAGAGAAACAATCAGAAAATTCAATAAAATCAGCTTCCTAAAGCAGCCTGTGGTACTCCTTTCTGGGGTCATTTGCATCCCCACTTGAGTGGGCAGTGCCTTTCTTTGCATATACTGGACTCTCTCTTCTCTATTTCATAAACAAAAATATTCTACTTCATTCTATGCTGATATAAAGACAAGAGCTTAAACCCAGGTGGAACTAATTTCTTTCACCAGGAAGTCGGGATATACCGAGCCCACAACAATTCCATCTTCCACTCTTCTGAGCTACTCACCGGAAGTTCCAAATCTGGATCACTGCTACTTCCTACACAGTTCACTTTCGGTCAACCCATATCCTGACAACCACTCTACCTCTCCTCAGCCATTCAGCTACTCAAGATAAGCTGGTCAGGCAAATTGGCCTCAGGACACCTTCAGGAGTAGACATCTTGGCTAGTGGCCTTTGAAATTGCAGGAACAGCACATCACCCCTGTCTGATACTCCTGTCTGGACTCCCTTATGCTCTCCTGAAATCCCAGCTTCCAGTTCTCCAGACCACGGAAGCAATCAGAAGAGGATCCACGCTTCATGATTCTCTCTTCTCATCAGCACTCACATCACATCCCATCCAGTCACCTGCTTCATATCCCTTTGTCTTCCCTCCAGTTCATCAGTCTGTGATTCTCGTTACAGTCCCTGTCCCTCCTGGCAGTCAGAGTTGAACACAATCAGAAGAGTCACCGTTTCAAAACAATTATTAATAAGACAAGTTCACGAAAAGTTCCTGAAAGAAAATGTTCCCCAAGGACTGATTGTAATCTTGGGGCACTAGATTACCAGGAAGAGGACCTGGCAAACAGAAAATTAAAAGACCCGAGGCTGCCAACAGTTCTCAGCAGAATATTTTAAATGAAAAAAATCAACGTGTTCTGTCCCTCGAGAAACAAACCTATCTTTGTACTTTAAGTCAATGTGTGGTGACGATAGCATCTCTTGGTTGGGGCAACAGCAGTGGGAGTGCTCCCACACAGAGTGCTCAAGGGGCCCAGGAGCCACTCCCTATAATTCTCGGTCAACTGGGTCAGCAGTTCAGGCTGCTCAGGAACTGCAATGCTAACTGAGCCACCCCTTTGGTTTCAAAACTGGGGGCCTGCAGGAGTGTGTACAGTGAAGTTTGGGAAATTATGTGATGCCAGTGTTAAGGTTAATAGCATGTAAGGCATTTGCTGAAATCCTGTTCTATCTCTTCTGATAGCAATCTTCGGTAGATATCTAGAAGAACAGTGGTAAGCTGAATCTATCCAGGATAACATTAGTAGGATACATTAAAAAGCTGTGCTTTTGGCATTTGTAAGTATTGGCTTGGGAGGAAGCTCTCTCCTCAGACTGACAAACTGCTGTACCTTATCAATTAACATTTAAATGTTAAGCAAGTTAATTTATTTACATGGGGAATAAAGCAGCACTGAAATCTAAAATCAATGGGAGTAAATTGTTTAATGGTGATCAACAACAGCCACTCCATCAATCCATTAACTCTTACCTGTGGTCTGCTGGGGAGATTTGCTGCAAGAGAGAGAGAGAGAAAACACAGAGATGAATTGTTTGTGCCTTTTATTGCTGGTTCCCTTTCCAATCATGCAAAAAGCGTGTGCTATATCACTCCTAGGTATCAAAAGGACGCTAATAAGAAAATGAAAAAAGTTTTACATTAATTTTATAGGGCTATGTTTTAATAAGGTCTAACTCCCTAGAAAATGTCTCATATCTCAGACCTGAGTTGGCCACATGCAGGACAAATGCCTTAACCTCTATACTGAATCTCCAGCCCCCTGAGTCTAATTTCTGTCATCCTTAGCCCACCCAGACCCCAAAGATGAGGAAGATGACAATAATAGCTTGCATTAACAAAACGGTCTTATTCTTTGCTGTCTTGTAGGCATTTGGACTAATCATTGTACCTACCACAGGCCAGTTATAAGCACGAGTGAGGTTCTAATTCTGATGTCTAATTTACCTTTCTACCAGGATGGTTCCATTCATTCTTGGTTACAGAGGAGAGAGTAGCTGATTTAGTGAATTTTCTGAGACCAGAAACTAGAAAATCTCTACAGCCACTTCGATTTTGTCATCTCTCCCTTTCACTGCAATGTCTCAAAAATTTTCTTATCCTCAAACTGGGGCAAATAAATAAATAAATAAATAAATAAATAAAATAAAATAGGCTCTCCAAATCCCAGCAGTGCTAACAATGTCATGAATCACCTAGCATCTAAATCTCATTTCATCTCATTTTTCTGTGCTCAGAAAATTAAAAGTGAAAAGCAGAATTTTCCTATGATATCTAAGGAAAAGTATGACCTCTGCTAGGATTGGGTGGTATGTCAGGCTTAAACCAGCCTACTGCTAGAAGATGACTAAGTTATAGCTGGGAAATGCATGGGCATACTCATTAGCTGGCAGTGCCAAGAGTCAACTTAGTTGAATCATAAATAAGTACTACAGTCCTTTGGCTGGAGTGATAGCACAGCGGACAGGCCTTGTACACGGCCGACATGGTCAACCCAGTTTGATTCCTCCCCCCTTCTCGGAGAGCCTGACAAGCTCCTGAGAGTATCTCACCTCCATAGCAAAGCCTGGCAAGCTACCTGTGACGTATTCAATATGACAAATACAGTAACAAGTCTCACAATGTTACTGGGCCTGCTCGAGCAAATTGATGAACAATGGGAGGACAGTGACAGTGACAGTCATTTGTTCATAGAAGCAACCACAAACAGGCCTTCCAAGAGGTCCAAAACAGGCCTTCCAAAAAGTGTCATTTTGGCGTGTGTATTATTTTAGGCTTAGTCATAGTTCTGACCAAAAATGTTTACTACTCTCTTTACTACCTAGAATAAAAGAATGAGGCTTTCCTTTATTAAAACAAAGTTCCAGAAAAAAAAACACTTCTTATCTGTCTTAGAAATATCCAATTGGTGTGCATCTGATCTAGGTGACGTGAGTCACCCCCTTCCTGTCATGTGAGTCCCTCGCCCCATCTCCTTGATGTCGCAGGCATCTAGATCATTCTGAGGTAGGCAGTCACTCAGGTGCAGTAGGTCCTTCCCAGCCAAGAAATGTTTAGAGAGACAAGATATGATCATGCAAAGGAGTTTTCCTGCCACTATTTCAAAATAAAGGTCGGGCACCCCCAGAGACAGTTTACCAGTTCTGATATGGTTTAGAAAAATCAAGAGAGCACCAGAGTTCAAATCCTTTCCCTTTACTCATTTGCCTAGGTTGGCTCTTATCTGCATAAACAGCACCAAGCAAAGGTCAGTATGGGAGAAAAAAAATTCTTCATATAATCAACGCAAAACAACTTCAGGCCTTTCTTCAGGATTCATAATTGATTCATAATTTCCGTCACTAATGGGACACTCTCCCCTCTGGGGCAGTCCCTGTTCTTCCTTGAAAGTGTCTCATCTTCCCCTAGTAAAACTCTTCTGCTTCACTATCTGTCTTTCCCTGAAATCTTTAAAAGTGATGAAAAACCGGAACCTAACTTCCCTGTGGAGACTGGGCTACTGTCTCCTTTTCCTGCAGGGCTTAACCTCACCTCACCCCGAGAACCAAGGTTCACTGACAATCCCAGGGGCAGGTCTCAGCTCCCACATGGATGAACGAATGGGTCTCAGGTGGTTTCATAGCTTCATGGTTTGCCTTAGTCAGGCTGGAAGGACTTCAGTGTCTAGGCCCAGAAGGAGCTTGGATAGAAGTTTCCAATTCTGACCTCCCTGGGCAAACGCTCCACCAACAATGATGAACCTTTGGATCTACACCCTCATTTGTGGCTCATTTATTTTAGAAACTATCCCCATGCAGATTCCCTGCATACATACAGTGAAGTTTGTTCTATTTGCTTACTAATCTGTCAGATGTTAATCTGGATGCTTGGTCAGCCTAGAAGAACCCAGAGGAGAGGGAGTATATTTTTTCTCTTCCTCTCTGGTAAAAAGTAGCTAAACAGAATACAAATAATTAAAGTCATCTGTTCCAAATCAATATTTTGAATCCTATAGCCATTTTATCAAATAAAATGCGTATGGGTACTCCTTTGAACAAATCATACAAACAACTTTCTGAGAGAAATAAGTCAACCACTGTTTGGTAGGTTTTGCATTTTGTTGTTATTGCTGTCTTTTTGAGGGCCATCCCTAATAATGCTGGTGATGGAGAAAGACAGTCTCATCAGGGTCTCACCCTCTAAGGGCATGAGCTCTACCACTTGATATATATCCTGAGTCCTGAGTTTTGAGCTCTTAATGAATATCACTCAAGTTTAATAAATATAGGCAGTTTACAGTGAAAATATGCCTTGTTTGTAGATAAGTCACTTAAATAGCATTTGCTATTTAAAGTCAGCAAAAAAATTACTGAGCTCACTACAAATATGCTGAATGTTTGGATAACATAAAGGAACAAAAGTGACATAAGAGAGTTACAACAGACAGTAGAAATTTTAGTATGTGTGTCGCTTAATAGTCATACAATTAAATTTATTTCATTAATACCTTGCCAGAAAGATATGGAAATTAATGCCTTGCCTCTCTGCTCTGAAACTCAATGTAAATAATTAAAAGAAGACTTAAAAGACTGTAAATCAAGGATGCTATTGGGACTAACTGGGATATTAACTCAAGACAGAGGAGTTCTGAAGTATTATGTGCAACAATATGCATGACACTCTGGGAAAAGAAAAGTGTCATGTTTAAGTAGACGATTCATGCAATTAGGACTTATGATTACAGTTTCATTTTGGTCCTAAGATTGCAAAGAGTGAAAATTCATGTGTGACCATGCTAATTTTTAATTCACAAAGGATCAAAAGTCAAGATTAACATGCAGATCCATTCATTGTATTTTGGTGACAAGCAACTTTAAAGTTCTCATTAGTTATAGAGGCTCAAGGGATTTTTTCTCAGCACTGGGAGACTGCCAATAGGATTTATGTAGAAAAATTCTCCAAAGGTGTCCAGAAAGCTTTGAGAATGTGGAAACTTATTAAAATGATTGCAGCTGAGAAACTTCAGTGGGACAATAAACCGAATGAATCCTACAGAATCTTTTGAACACTACCTGGGGGAAATTTCAATAATCCAACCTCCCCAGTAAGAAAATATAATCATTAACTCATTCACTCTTTGTATTCTGAGGAAAGTATATTAGGCACAAAGTCTATGTTAGGTACTCTATTTTGCATTAATTTTTAAAGACTTAATAAACATAGGGGAATTTTGAAAATATGAATCAGTATTAAAAATAAATCAACTAAGTTAATTAATTAAATCTTTCATTTTATGGAATGCCATCTCCATCTTGGATAGTTTAATATTATTAATGCAAAAGACAGACATAAATATCAAGAGGAAAACCAAACCCAAGCAAACAGAAAACATTAACTAATGAGATGTAAATTCTGAAGAACTGGAAAATACATATTTATTACTTCTCACATGGGATGTAGTTAAGCTTTTCAAATTAACAGGTAACTAGTAATACTCATGTACTGAAAACTATACATACTACAAATGTATGTGCACAAACAAAGAACACTCTGATAATATATGTAGGGCCAACACCCTATTATAGATCTTGGGACTCCATAAACCATCTTCACAAACTAGAATGACAGAAGTAGAGAAAACAGCAATTTAATAATAAGTTGTATCCTGTGACATGGGTCCAAAATAAGATGTATATCTACTAAGAAATCAATGCTATTTATAAACAGCTAATGAAATTGTGATCATTAGAAATTTTGTACTTGCCCTTACATAAGGTCACAGATAAGATGTATATATTCTTAAGATTTATTCTGCTCTATGATTATTATTAAAACATTTTATTCTCTTCTAAAATATCATATAGATCCAATCTTTTATGGTATCCTGAAATAAGAATATACTGTGAATATTTAAGTAACTGCTTTAGCAATTAAAAATTTTTAAAAATTTTTATTAGTGAAACACCATGAGGTAAAGTTGTAGACTTATAAATTTTTGTGCTTGGGTTTCAATTATATAATGATCAAGTACCCATCCCACCACCAGTGCCCATTTTCCACCACCATGGATCCCAGTATCCCTCCCACCCTCCATCCCCCCATCCCACCCTGCCTCTGTGGCAGGGCATTCCCTTTTGTTCTCTCTCTCTCCTTTTGGGTGCTATGGTTTGCAAAAGGGGCACTGAGTGTCAATCATGTTCTGTCTATAGTCTACTTTCAGCATGTTTCTCCCATCCTGGGAGGATCCTCCCAGCACCATTTATTTGGTGCTCCCTTCTCTATCTGAGCTGCCTTTTCCCCTAGTATGTGTGGCTGGCCTCCAAGCCATGGAGTAAACCTCCTGGTACTTACTTCGGCCAAAAATTTTAAGATAATAAAATCTCACATAATGTTAATCTGAAAATTATACAGATTCTATCCACCAGAAAGCACATATATTTTCCATTTTAGGTCTCACTGCCAACCAAATTTTAAACTGAAAATATTAATTAGAATACTACTAATAATTACTAAATAGTCATTTCTTAACTATCGGAGAGCATATGTGACCCTCTTGAGTATTTGTAAAGCTCTTTTAACTGTCCCTCCTGAGCGTTTGTGAGAGTAAAAAAGAGTTCAGGGTTGGAAAGACAGTACAGCAGGCAGGGTGCTTACAGAAAAGATCTGGGTCAGAACTCAGCAGAAATTGCAAGGTGCCAGGATGTAAAAGACAAAATTCTGAGGGAAATCAATAAACAATAATCATGAGATAATTTCATTTATGATTTAGACTATTTGTGTGTGTGTGTGTGTGTGTGTGTGTGTGTGTGTGTGTGTGCATGTTTTCTGGCTTCTGTCTGCTCACTGGAACATTCACAGACCCATAATTTTTTATGCTTTAAATTGTCTGGCCCTTGTTCTGTGGCTGCCTTAATTGATGAAAAAAGAAATCAAATTGGGGGAAAAAAAGGAGGAAAAAGTAAAATCTAAAGGTGGTCCTTCCCCTCGCCTTCATCTGTTGACAGGAGAGAACAAAGTCTAAAGACAAGGGGCTGTGCCCATTAGAAAGGGCATTTCCTGGCCTTGTTTGGCATGCCACTTCAAAGCAACTTTGAGAAGGAATACATGTGTCTTACTCAAGCTTGCCTGGAAGAGGTTAAGTTCTTTTTACAAATAGACTTATCTGATCTGCCTTCTTGTTATCTCTCCTAAAGCAAGGGTTGGCATTGGCCTGTGCCCACAGAGATAAAGCCTCAGGTCAAGCTTCAATTTCTCTTTTATGGCCTTGGAGAACGTTTGACTGATTTTCAAATCATTTTCAATCCTATTTCTAATATTAGTCTTCGTTAGCTCACAGAGACCCACAAAGAGACTCACTGAGGTAAAAAGAAACAGAGGGGGAGCGCGGGGTGGGGGTGGCTGGTACTCACGGCAGCAAGAAGGGAAGGTGCTGTTGATTTGTTCCATCACCTCTGTGAGGTCGGTGCTGGTGTCCTGCGGGGGCGCCAGCAGGTCCTCAGAGGCTGTCGCTGGGGATGAAAGGAACAACAGGTTCTAAAATTAATTAGCTTCCACGGAATCCCAACTTCAAGAGAAAAATATTAGCATCGAAATAAATATCAACATGAAAGCCACTCTCCTTGAAAAGGGCAAGTTTAGGGGAAAATGCCAAAACCATTTTTTACAGAAAATTCATTAGCAATATAACTTCACCCAAATAAAATGCTCTAGATTCTGCTGTCGACAGAATTCATCTGTCAGGGGGAAATACATGAGCAAAAAAGAATGTAGCTGTATTATTTCAATGTATTAGCTAGGATTCTGTCATTTCACATGACAAGCATTTCTTTATTCTTTTGAGAAAAAAAAAGTCCTACCTTGTGTTATTTTTCCTTCCCATCTATCAAACTTTTGGGGGAATTTCAGCATAAACGTTCTACTTTGATGTTGTTGGTTCTCTAATCAATAGCAAAGCTTGTTTTTTATTTAAATCAAATGAAAAACAACATTAATATTTCAGGTTTTGTTTTTAATAATGGGGCAAAGGATAAAGTAAATTTGATTGAAGGGGAAGGCTATGTTCCTTAATCAGATTTTAGAATTTGAATTTTACTGACAGGAAAATGTCATTCCTGGTGTCTGGTTGACACAGTCCTTCTTGGGAAAAGGATAGGACCCCTTATGCCCAACAACAGGCTGGGGGGTTCTGAACCCAAGTTGTGGGGGGGGGGGCGAGTGGCAACATCTGTAAACACTGGGGCAGAAAAAGCAGAATCCTTGAGCTGCCAGGGTTGATCCAAGATCACCATGATCCAAGATCATCATCATTCCTCTGCGTTATATTCATATACGCACACACAAAATTCAAGACAGAAACTTTACTAAAACAAATGAACATACAACGATTGATTCCTAGGGCAAAGAAAGGAAAGTGTAATTATGCCCATCTTTTACCAAAATGCAATTTACTACGACTACATGTTTTAGAAACCAGTGCATTGTAGCTTATTATTTGAAAACATTTGCCTTTTGGGTTTTATTAAAAGGGCTGTGTAACTCAGTCAAGACCCAAGAAAATACCAAGTTCCTTTGTGCCCTACAGCAAATATATGCAAAGATGCCATTTAAAGTGGAAAAAAGCAAAAGAATAAATGGCAAAGCAACAGAGAAGGGGTGTGGGAGGAGGGTCACAGACCTGTTGAGTGGAACTGTGGGCCTGAGTCTTGGTCAAGCGAATAACTCAGTGCAGATTGTTGGGGTGAAGTCCAGGGGGAGACGCCGTTGATTCGAGAGTCAGATTCAGGCTGAAATTACAGTCAGACATGAGAATGGAGCACGGGTTCAAATAACTCTTAAGAGAACATTTCTACCATCCCCAGTCCCCTCCACGGACAACTCAATCCTGCAGTATTGTTTGCCCTTGCCCTTTGCAAATATAGGTTAGCATGAGAAGTATGGGGGTATGGGATGTATGGGAGTATGGGATCCTCATTTTTCCTTCCTTCCTTCCTTCCTTCCTTCCTTCCTTCCTTCCTTCCTTCCTTCCTTCCTTCCTTCCTTCCTTCCTTCCTCCTCCCTCCCTCCCTCCCTCCCTCCCTCTCTCCCTCCCTCCCTCCCTCCTTCCTGCCTTCCTGCCTTCCTGCCTTCCTGCCTTCCTGCCTTCCTGCCTGCCTGTCTGCCTGCCTTCCTGCCTTCCTGCCTTCCATCTCTCTTTTCTTTTTTTGCATTTTTTTGGTCACACCCAGTGATGTTCAGGGGTTACTCCTGGCTCTGCACTCAGAAATCACTCCTGGCAGTGCTAGGGGACCATATGGGATGCCGGGGATCAAACCCGGGCCAGTCACTCCAAGGCAAACTCCCAACCCACTTTATTATAGCTCTGCCCTCTCTCTTTCTTTCTTCACTTAATCCCCAAATGGTCTTCCCCCTCAGTCTGCCACCTTGAGGGACTCATTTGGTCTCTTCTTTTTATATCAACTGAATGAATTTCTTAGAAACCTGTTTCATTTCTCTTTAAAAATTCTAGCATTGCTTCTCAGAGTAAACTAATCCCATTTCAGAATCTGCTCACTGATGGATGTGCTGAGTTCATAACAACCCAGTATTAACAGTATTGTAAACCAAAATTTAAATAAATAATATTTTCATCAACAGAAAAACATTCAAATCAACATTAAAGGGCAATACTGGAGAGTGGTTAAGAGTCTGCTTTGAATTCAGATGTTTGGATTTGTGCTCCATCACTGAGATGTTGCCCTTCCTCCTACCCCCTCTCCCCACCAAACTGCTGCCAAGTATCTCTCCTATAGATGGTGTAGGGAGGGAAGAGAAACCTAGTAAGAGAACAACAAATAAACAGAGCCATTGAACTGAAGATTTTGTTCACTGAACTGAGTTTACACTGGGGGGTTGGGTTGGGAGAGGTCCTTGAGAAGACATGGGTAGAGGGTAGCGAGACGAGCTGTTTGGTGATGTGTGTGGGGTTAAATGATGCATACATTGGGGGCTGGAGTGACAGCAAAGCAGGTAGGGTGTTTGCCTTGCACACAACCCGACCCAGGTTTGATTCCCAGCATCCCATGTGGCCCCCTGAGCATGGCCAGGAGTAATTCCTGAGTGCATGAACCAGGAGTAACCCTGTGCATCGCTGGGTGTGACCCAAAAAGAAAAAAAAAATGATGCACGCATGAAAAGTGTGACTAACCGTATGGTAAATCCTAGCAGCTTCGTACAAATAGGTTTGAAAAAATAAAAAAGTTGTCTCATCCTAAACAACTGTGTCATGTCGGAGTTCCTGCTGGTAGTACTCAGGGGACCATACGTGATGCCTGGATCAAGTCAGAGTCAGCTGCATACAAGGCAAGCCCTTTATCTCCATCTCTATCCTTCTGGCTCTGGGCCTGGGGTTCTTTATGTATACACTAGGGGCTGGTAAAATGTGTCCAAGCCAAAGAATTTTTGTCAGGGGCTGCCCAATTATGGGGAATGCAAAAGTCAGTGGGTTTTGATGTCATTTCACATTAAATCGGTATTAGTTGAAGTCTAGCAGTTTTGCCAGTTTTTTTTTCTTTTCTTTTTTCCTCTCTCAGAGTTAAATTTTCCATCTACTTCTGGCATTTGTGCTAAATCATTAAGAAGAGATAAGAGCTCTACAGTCCCGGAGATACAGAGCCATTTCAGATATCAGTTATCTCCGAACGCATTACAGTGCGATCCGAAGGCACATGAGCCATTAGGCAGCTCTGTCTAATGATATGGGGAGAGCGGAGAGGGGGGAAGCAGAGGAGTTTTTAGATCTCCTAAGAGCATCCCCAGGCTTCAACTGCGACTTTATTCAGCACTGATTCTACACATGTGTTAGGTGGTTAGCGCTAACGTGTCATAATCTAAAGAAGACACTTCACGGGAAAATTCACCCTTTAGGTGGTACCTTCCAGAAACTTCCCATTCACAGCACAATATAACTTTTTCATTGTAGGGGACTGTACACAGTGGTGGGCTTATAGAAAGCCAGACCTTGGGTCGCTCTGGGGAAACCACTACTTTTCTAATGATGCCCAGTTTGGAGGCTGTGATGTTTCACTAGCTTCTGAGACGTTGGCAGACATGCAGAAATGTGTATAATCAAACTAAAAGGGAGAATCTATGGCCCGCTGTGTAGGTAACTGCAGACATTATCCTGCTTTGCAAGATTATGGCTAGTTCAAAGACAGTGGTTGCAATTGTGAGAAGATGAGTTTTCTAAATTTGAGAAAATCACCAGGGAAAAAGTTGCTTCTGCCTTTGATTTAATAATTTGTTTCTGAAGAAGGGAAGGGACTTCTCTTCATTGTCAAAGGTCAAAGAAAAGAGAAAAAAGATGCTGTGGAAGTTGATGCTGAGGGTTCTTTCAGAAGGACAAGTTCCAGACCTATTTTTTGGGATTCCACACAACAGACAATTGCTTTAATTGCAAAGGTTTAATCATTACTATTGCTGGGATATGGTTCTTATTTAATTGCTAAGTGGAAAAAAAGTATTTCATTCATGACAGTGCTATGTTTTTATGTTAGATATCATAAAATTGTGTTATGGATCCTAATAAGATTGCAGGCATCAAAAAGGAAGAATTTGCCTGCTCCTTTTATATTCCAAGATGTGTTTCAAAATTGGTAATTGCACAGTGATGGTTATGAAAAGGATCTAGCAGGTCTTAATCAGTATGAGGAAAGAAAGAGATAAAAATGGAAGATAGGAAATGAGGGGAATAATGATCAAAGCAAGGAAGAAGAGAATAAAAGGAAGAAAAGAAAAAATTAGGGACAGAAGGAGAAAATACAAGATACCACTTCTCTATAACAAGCATTGCTCTTTATTACACATATATGCAGTCCTAGTGTAAATTGTTTTTCTTATTGTCGGGAAAGTTGTAAGCCACTGCCATAAAACATGCACCGATGCTAGGATGTCACTGTCATTGTCACTGTCCTCCCTTGTTCATCTATTTGCTCGAGCGGGCCCAGTAATGTCTCCATCGTGAGACGTGTTGTTACTGTGTTTGGCACATTGAATACATCACAGGTAGCTTGCCAGGCTTTGCTGTGTGGACGAGATACTCTAGGTAGCTTGCTGAGAATTGAACTCAGGTCGGCCATGCTGGCCGCTTGCAAGGCAAATGCCCTACCTGCTGTGCTATCGCTCCAGCCTGCTAGGATGTAATAGTATCAAATCATCAACCATCTATTACTCATTTCTTGAAAAGTTTATTGGAAGAAAGGGTGTTGGCATGAAGAGTTCAGGTCATTTCCTGTTCCTTAATCTTCAGAGATGCTTGCCGCATCCCCCATGTAATTGATGCAGATCTATGTTAGAGAATTTTCCCCTCAACTCTCCAGAACCAATATAGATTTTTCTGTGTCTAAGACGAATGGAAAATTTCACCTTACGCGGGACAAACACATTTTTGGATACGAATGATGGCTCAACCCTCAGGTTTGAAAAGGTTAAACTGCTAAGCCTGTTTACCCATGACAGTGAGATATTGGAAGTGGATCTCTCTACCAACACCAAGACCAACCCCTGGGAGATGGGTCCCAAGGCATGGCGTGGGAAGGGGTGACCCTGGGTTGCGAACGCCCCACCTGCTCCAGCAGCTGACGGAGTCGGTGAAGCTGAGATTCCAGCTGCTTATTGTGGTCTTCTAAAATCTGCATCCTCGCCTCCAGCCGACCCTTGTGCTGCCTGAGGAGCTTTGCCTCAGCTATGAGTTCCGAATCCTCAGACGTGTGATGTGGAGAGACGATGGAGTCTGGGGGCGAACCCACAGGAAGCCCCTTTCTCAGGTGCTGTTCTTTGAGCTGCTCATACTCCACCTGCAGATTTCTAAGAGCAAGAAGGAAACACTGGATGCCTCTCACGGACATGCTCTTCTCTCCTTCCCAAACTGCGCGGTCTAAATGTAGCCCTAGCCTCTGATTTTCTTTTAGGTATTATAAATAAATTAACAATGAGAAAAGCCATCATGAATGAGGCAATGACTTTAAGCAAGCATTCAAACAGGCCTCTTCTGAGCCCTTCTCTCCCACACATTAGCATTCTCTACAGCTTTGACTTCATGACTCCTTAGATATAGTCTAGAAAGCCAAGGAGTGGGAGCCTCTTTGACATTCCCATGAAAGGATTTGCCATTGGAATTTTGCCCCAGGAGGATGGCATTCCTTCCCCAGGTCTCACACACCTTTGCTCTTCCTCCAGGTCTGCAATGATCCGCTCCAGTTCTCCGCGTTCTTCCCTTTCTACTGACTTCAAGATCTGAGCTGGGCTCTGGGGCTGGCTCACAGGGGACTCGCCTCCAAGAGTCTGGCAGTACTGCTGGATGAGCGCATGTTCATCCTCCCTAGGGGAAGGAGAGAAATCAGAGGCTGAAGTCAGAATGTTGATGATTCTGGCTCTAAAGAAGGCACAGTGATGGTCATCAGGATGGAAAAGCTTGTGTTAGAGAGACATGTTCCTATGACCTCCCATGAAAACTCTAGTATGATAGGCAATTAACAGCATTTGTGTACAATACATTGCAAATTTCATGTTCTGCTATGGTTTTATGTACACGTCTCACAAATAGTTCACTCAGCAGAGAATATAAGCTATATGTAAACATAGGATATTTGATATCATTCGGTAGGTTATTTGTGGTATGGGGAATACTAAAAAAAATGGCCTACATAAAGTTTGTCCACATAAGATGTTCTTATGTTAGTCTCAAATCTTTTGTCCCATGGAGCTCATAATTAATGCTTGACATCAGAGAAAATCCTGATTATCATTCCTGTGGTATTCATTTGACTGACAAAATGGGAGCTAAAATTGCATTTGAGAGTTAATGAATTCTTAGAGATGTGCCTAAGCACTGAGATCAAAATCATGTGGCAAAGAGGAGAACATGAGAAAAATAATCACAAAACTGTTAAAGCAAAGGTTCAAATGACCTGTCGCTTTCTTTGGTTTCCTTATCAAATAACCTTCCCTCTTTCTTTATAAATATTCTTTTCCTCTCTCTTTATAAATATCAACAATATGCATATTTATATGATGGTAGATATGTGTACATAGAAGCGCATATTGTTTAAAATTCAAGATCACTGATTCTCCTTCTTGATGTTCATTTTAAGAATATAAAATCATTCTTATATACAAAAAGATACATGTACCCCTATGTTCACTGCAGTGCTATTTACAATAGTCAAGATCTGGAAGCAACCCAAATGCCTGACGATTAAGACTGTATAAACAAACTGCTGTAAATATAAAGAACAAAATGTTATTCAGTTGCCAAAAAAAAAAAAATGAAAGATTCCCTTTTGCTACAACTTGGTTGGAGCTAGAAGGAGCCAGGTTAATAGAAGTAAGTCAGGGGCAGAAGGACAAAGGCTGAGTGTTCTTACTCATATGTGATATTAGCAAAATGAGGTGGGGGATCAGACGTTTTCTGGACAGGGTTGAGAGGTGGGGTGGGAAAGGTTGTGTGAGAGGAGACATAAGGGAGGAGAATCATACACTTGGTGCATGTAGTAGTATCAAGACCTTGTATACTAGAAGTACCAACATTATTGGAAACCTTTTAAGAAAAACAGTAGTAAATACAATTGTGTTTTTGAAATAGCAAACACTGATGTAAAAATAAAAATAATCAAGGCCAGAGAACATAGTTAAGGCTATCAAGCAAACAAGATCCCTAATCTCACCTTCTTGCTATAATGAGATGAATAAAAAAAGGGGAGAGTAGGAAGACCCTTCCTACCAATTTGGAACTGGAAATAAGGAACATGGGTGGGACAAAGATTGAGATAAACTATGACACCCTCTTTGAGGCCCCTCTCCAACAAAAATGCAGCATTGCTGGGAAATAAATGATCTTCAAGAATTCAGTCCTAAATTTAAAAGAGAGAAAGGCAAAGAATGATTATTGCTCTATTATGGAACTGCTGAGTTTGGATGTAGAACCAGAAACTCTAAGGATGCCTCCAGAGTTGCTCAATAATACAGGGATCTGGGATGATGAGCATTCTGACAGGTGTTGGGGGTATTCTTCCAGCTGGAAACAAAAGGCATCACAGATGGGATATTCACAACCAAGTTTGTGCAATTCTTGGTCATTACAGCTTGGTCAATACCTAGCTGTATTAGGGAAGAGCAGAGCAGACTCTGAAGCTGCTGTGCTAACACCACCCAGATATTGATGAGTTAATAAGAACTGAAGACAGGATTCCATCCAGGGCTGACTGGATGCACTTCCCAGGGTTCAAGGCCATAGCAAGAGAGAATTGAGAGCACCTTCCCTGTGGGCAAGAGGCTGCAAGTTTGATCCTCACCTCCTTCTCACATGCCATATATGATTCTTGTACCACTACCATTTGTGACTTTCTGTGACACAAAAAAGTCTGTAATCTGCCACTCACATGCGTACAACGACCTCAGTCCCCCAAATATTGTGCAAGCACCACAATTAGATACATGCCCCTGAGTAAGCACTGAAACTAAAGTGTCCATATGCACACAACTAAAGAGTGTGAGCACTGCAACCAAGTGTGTGTACGTTTGTGTGTGTGTGTGTGGGGGGGGCAGTTAGCATCACAATTGGGATATTCACAACCAAGTTTGTGCAATTCTTGGTCATTACAACAATAATAACAAGAGAAGGAAAGCAGGGGTAGAAGTCTGCTAAAGAACTTGTATGCAAAAAGCAATCTGGTTTTTAAAAAATACAGACTTAGTGGCTAAAGAGGTGGTAAGGTGGGTCGGACACCTGCCTTGTACACAGACAACTGGGGTTCAATCCCTAGCACCACACACAGTCCACTGGTCCTCCCAGGAGTAATTCCTGATTCAGAGTTGGGAGTAAGCCCTGAGCATAGCTAGTTTGGATACAGAACCTTTTTTTTTATTCCTAACAAAACATTAAGATCTAAATGAAGAACAACAGACAAAAGGCTAAAGATTCACTGGGTGTTAAATACAATAGAGCAAAATAAATACAGAAAAAGCCTTCATAAACTTTTCTTATGTTGGAAAAAATATAGAAACTAAAATGACTGATTTTCTATCCCAAAACTACTAAGAGACAAACATTCACATCCTAGTGGAATGTCTGAGAAAACATTTCCTATTTTTCCCAGAAATACCGCTTCTGGAAATATATCCCAGAGATGCAAAAACGTACAGTAGAAATGATATCTGCATTTTTATGTTTAATGCAGCACTATTTACAATAGCCAAAATCTGGAAACAACCTGAGTGCCCGAGAACAGATGACTGGTTAAAGGAACTTTAGTATATAGACAATGGAATACTATGCAGCTCTTAGAAAAAATTAAATCACGAAATTTTCATATAAGTGGATTAACATGGAGAGTATCCTGTTAAGTGAAATGAGTCAGAAAAAGAGGGGATATACATAGAAGAACTGCACTCATTTGTGGAATATAAAGTAACACTAGGAGACTAACACCTAAGGACATTTGAAATAAGAGTCAGGAGGACTGCCCCACAGCTTGGAAGCCTATCTCATACACTGGGGGGAAAGGTAGCTGGGATGGAGAGAGGAGCACTAAGTAAATGATGGTTGGAGGATCACTCGGGATAGTAGATGCGTGCTGAAAGTAGACTATGGACCAAACATGATGGACGCTTGATATCTGTATTGCAAACCATAACATCCAAAAGGAGAGAGAAAGAGGAAATGTGCCTGCCACAAAGGCAGGGGGTGGAAAGGGGTGGGGATGAGGGGAGGGATACTGGGAACATTGGTGGTGGAGGATGGGCAATGGTGGAGGGATGGGTACTTTAACACTGTTTGACTGAAACGCAATCGTGAACGTTTCTAAGTCAGTAAATGTATCTCATAGTGATTCATTAAAATTAAAAAACAAAAATAAAAACAAAAATAAAAAAACACCTCCCCTGGGGAGCCTCACACAAGGTGCTCAGGGCCTGGACTGCCTCCTGGCAACCTGACTGAGCCAGCAGTTCTATGTGAGGGCCAAGGATGTAGCATTCCTCTGCTCTTGCAGTGTTGGCTGCACCCAGTGATGCTTGGGAGACCAGCTGGTGCTGGGGACTGAACCAGGGTTGCCCACATGAAAGTTGTGTGGCTTGCAAGGCACGTGCTGACCGCCTGTGCTATTTTTCCAGCCTTGAAATGTGTGAATTTTAAAGAGAAAGCATTACAAATAGCTGTAAATAAAAACAAAGCAATAAATCCTTTCAAATGAAGACAGTTAAGCCCACAACTATTCATCGTATTCAATTCCAAAGACAATGGCACATCTAATATTCTAGGTGGAGAATCCAAAGGTAATCCTAGGGACAGTCATGCAATGCACAAGTGTAAAGTCATGCATTTTCTTTCCACAGTGTGAAGGAAAGACAGAATGAGGGATAGAGTTAAGCAGGGAGAACACAGTATATAGGTTCAGGTGTTGTAAAATTAAGATAGCAACTGCTTCTTACATTAAAGAAACATTAATATAATACCTATAATATGCCCCAAATAAAATGATAAAGAATAAAAGGTAAAGGTAAAGGTAAAGGCCCTCCCGTTGATCGTCGATTTGCTCGAGCAGGCCCAGTAACGTCTCCATTGGAGACTTTGTTGTTACTGTGTTTGGCATATCGAATACTCTTGGTAGCTTGCCGGGCTCTCCGAGAGGGGTGGAGGAATCGAACTCGGGTCGGCCATGTTGGCCGCTTGTAAGGCGAACGCCCTACCCGCTGTGCTATCGCTCCAGCTATCGCTCCAGAATAAAAGTGAAAGTATTTTTAAAAGGAATATAAGGACAAGAACTGAAAGAAAATTTAGGTTCTGTAAGTTACTTGGTAGTCTGAAGGCCATAAATTGACACAATACTCTCCTTTATCCCAGACAATATTAGACAATTTGTCCTGGGACTAAACCTCATGCTCAATGCAGACACTAACCTACTTGCTTTGCTTTGTTTTAAAGATAGGACAAGCCATAGTAAAACAAATGAGACATATGATGGTAATAAACAGACTTTAGATGTACTTTCTTAATATTTACATGGATTACTTTCTTGTGGAAAAGATGGGACTCAACAATGTTGTTATAATTATCATCATCATTATTGTTAGTGCATTTTTTTTTAAAAAGGCACCTACAAAGGAATGAAAGCTATTTTTTTAAATGACAATTAAAAGCTCACTTATACTCATTTAAGGTCACTTTAGTTTTAAATGCTTTCATAGACTGTTAGGTTCACAGGTTCAACATAAAAATAGATACATCAACTTTTAATTATGTCTATGGAAAATCAAGAATGAACACTTTAATTGCAGATATTCATGAAGTACATGATTAGGGTCATTAAACATCAACAGAGT